TGATGACCTCTGAAGCCGAGTCAGCAGTCGATGGCCTGATTTTCTGTAATTATTCCATTACAACTGTGTAAGCTTCCGATCTGGAGGACACTACTCCTCATGAGTCGTTGAACAGCGGTAACAACTACCATTTCTAGTCGCTCGCAATACAGCAACTTTTCAGAGGGTTGATGAGTGTGTGCGAACAGGGGACTGAAGTTTGATTGATTGTCACATGATGGTCAGTGAAGATGGCAATTGCTGTCGATGGCCCGATGCGCGGAAGGTGCCGTTCTCGGCGCTGCCAACCTGATGAGTTCGGCGGTCGGCGGTCAGCGGTCGGCGGTTCGGCGCAGTGGCGCCATGCGATGCGACCGCGACGTTGCCATTTGAAGACGCGTTGCGGTCGGCCGTCGTTCGGTGGCGACGTGACGGCCGTTCGCAGTGCGACTGGTGGACGGGTCGGAGGTGGCGGTGGCGGCGGCGGCGGCGGCGACGGCGACGGTGGCGGTTTTGAGAAGCAAGGGAGGACGGACGAGCGATGCACCGCCATGCGTGCCGGTGGTCAGTGCTCTTTTTCTTAAGGAAGACTGCGGACAGCGGACACAGGGCCGATGACCGTTGTCCACCCCGCGTCCACTGGTCGCTTAGCGGCTGTCGCGAACTGTCGCTTGCGCGCCCCGCCGCGCCGCGCCGCGCCGCGCCGCGAACTCCGCCACCCTCCGCCGCCGAAGGCGGTAAATTCCGCAATGGCGTGCGCGCGATACCTGTTCATCAAAAAACCAGTTTCTCTGATCATCCCGCAGTCCTAGTTTGTCCTCTACAGCACCTCGAACTTGTAAAGATGAGATCAGTAGCATGTTTGCTTGACTTTTTCAGCCGCATCGTCGTCTTCGTCTTGGTCGTCGTGGCCCTGCGGTTGTCTTCCTTGCCTCCCGCCTCTTCGGATGTGGCGGATCTCTGTTGTTGTGTTGTTGCATTTGTTGTTGTTTTCTGGCATGGACCGTCGACCGGAAGTGTACCTCGCTCCCCTCGCCTCACCTCAGAACAGTAGGTTCCACATACCCCCCC